AAAAAACGTGATCAGTGTAATAAATTCAGTCCAACTTCATCACCAGCTATATTTATCATGCTACTCTTACAAAGACGCGTTATACTCCAACCATAATAATTATACACTACTACTCCAAAAAGTGTAAGAATAATGTTATACATTGAACCCATGCGTCCAACACCAAACGGCAACAGGGAAGCTTTATGAGACGAGTGCAGTCATCCAATCAAAAATACCGTTCAAAACACAAAAAATAAGGGCTATATAAGCCAAAGTAGTGTGTTTTATGTTAATGCAATGGGTAGTATAAGCATCAACAGGTTGGAAGATAAGTATGGTTGCCAAGAGGGCCGGATGGGGAAGAAGGGAGGAAATTCACTCTTGAGGTGGGGGAGCTTCGCTACAACGAAGTGTGCATCTTGTCTCATGCGCAACCAGTTGAACAAAAGTACGGTCTAAAAAGGCAACTAAAGAGCGATATCAGTAATAGTGATGTAGGCATAAGCAAGAGGAAAAGTGACGTAGTAGAGATCGCCGCTAAGTGAGTTATGGTCTGTTCGGTAGGCTAGCGCACAAGGAAAAAGGCCTACGCCTAATGAAATGATACATTTATCTAATATAATATCGCTCAAAAATGTGGTACAAACTATCCTAGCTGTCGGAAGAACATAGGCCTTTTAACATCCAATTAGGTACAATGTAGAGTTATCTATTTATTTAGGAGTAAATTCTGGATTTTATCACCGATAAAAAGAAATTATGTTAGAGATTTAAGCGAAAACTGTTATACTAGTGGTATAATGGTTTAAGTGACCAATAAATCCTCCCTATGGAGGTAAAATTGTAGCCAGAATGGGAGTTGGTGTTGTGGTGGAGACTTTAATTTCGTGTGAGAGTGCATAATGAAGAAATTCGAATTTCGATCTCACGAGAAGACCGTTGACTTCTCGTGTTACCCTGAAGCTTTTGCAAGAATGAGTTAACAGTCTGATGATATCCATCATATGACGAACGAAAAGTCAGCCCGCTTTCACCCGAAACGAAGGAGGATGTCTCGAGGACTTCAGCAATCTGAACGTCGTACTAAAGCCAAACGGCTATAGAACAACGGGGACTGGTCGTCGTCTTCCGGTGAGAAGATCATCATAAACTTTCAACAGCAATACTAGATCAAGAGATTCATGGAAATACAGTAACTCATCGAATACACATATTGTAGCCTTAAGTTTGAGTTGATACATGATCTAGCTAAATGAATAGGATGGAAGGCTTGATTTTACTGATGAATATAAACCTAAGTTATATCCATGTGTACTTACACTCGCTCATTACGATACCCCAGCACGAGATGAGTATCCAAACAAGTAAAAGTGATACTTGGATAGTCGATATACTCCAAGATCAAGCACTAGTGCGGACAAAATTTGGGTATGAAAGTCAGAATGAAGATTGCTAAAATCGGGCTTTCTTTTAACCAATCGTGGAGACTTATTACAAGTACCTAAATTATCATGTTCAAGCATGTTCAACCTTTATAAAATAAACAATATTTACTGACTATTTGAGCTTATAAATAGCAGAATAGCAAGAAAATTAGATGAAGTAAACAATAAACAATATTATCGAAGTGATATTGCTGCCAGTAAGCATCAGAAAAATTTGTATGCAACCTAAGGTTCATTGAGACCAAAATCACGTATATACACCAAAGACGCATACATGCACCTGCCACATTCACTCAAGTTAAATTAACTCTTAGTATGCTTTTAATAAAGACACAACGGTGGCGAGATGAGCAGAGATAAGCAAGCAAAATAAGTTAAAAAATGCAATTGAAAAAGCCATAACCTTATCGAAGTAGCTCTTAAGTAACAAATATAAGGGAAATGAATGTCCTCATCTTACTACACAAGAAAATAGCCTCCAAAGAAACGAACGTTAAATATATTTTTCTGAATTAACGACGAATTAATGAAAGCTATAAAAGATGTCTTACTCTACGAAAAGTTTGTATGCGAGTACAAAGAGCTCGAACAACCAAGCAAAGTTTTTGAAAAATCGGTATTTTTAATCAAAGCACTTGCAATCTGTAAAAGTTCAATATTGGCATGAGGCCTATTTTTAAAAGTTATTTCTATCCAAAAGGTTCCCAAACTGCATAAATGGTTAATTGTAATAAATAAAAAGACTAAAAGTATAAGGAGTCTCAATTAATTAGCACAATAAGGGTAAATAAGCATAAATTAATTTGGAGCTAAGAAAGAGCAGGTATGGCGTATAGCCTGAGGAAGAGTCAGAATTCGCTTAAATATTTTGAGGTCCAAGGATTTCATCCTCTTTCCAAGCGTAGGCATTATTTTAAATTAATTGAACAAATAGAAGTGAAGACTCAACTACAGACACAGGATCTACCGAAGCTCCCGACAATTAAAATCCCCGCTCGGCTGATGTTCAACAAATTGCACGAACTTAGCAATCGCACTTATTTTACGTGAAATATCCTTGTGTGTATGTGCCCACCCCAAAATGCTATACGAAACCAAATAAAGTCAGCTTTGACTGAGTGACGATTTTGAAATATAAAGCCTTTAAAAAATGCGGAGAACTTTAGGCAAATGCATTAATTATTTATCAGCTCAAAATACATATGATGATAGGAAGGTATATAAAAATCGAGGAAAAAAACTCGAATTTGATTTCAAAGAAAATTATTCCACCTCAGCTTGTGCCAATATAGGACAAATGTGTGGATATATATTCTTGATAATAAAGCAACCCCCTTTTACTATGGTTTTAAAGGCCGTAATGGCAATACTAAACGTCATTTTTTATGAAAAATGAAAAAATTAAGTACCATAAACAAGAGAGTATACATATTTGTGTATTTAACAGAAAAGAAGACAAACAATGAAAACAATAGATCCATTAAAGGGTTTTCATGAATGCCGCTGGAAGGAGCACACCACATTACATTAAAAATAAGCACGGTAAAATATTGTGACAGTGAACGCATGATAGGAGGATATAGGAAATGTGAATAGGCCAGGGCAGAAGGAGAGATACCATAACTGTTTAGCACACGTTTGGTCAAAGGATGGACTTCACTTGTCTCTTTGACGAGACTTACTGACGATGCCGACTACGATGCCGGCGAAACGTCTGGGAATGTACCACGTCCACGGTCCTA